ACAATTCATTCTGCCTCACCTAATTCCTACAAATTTATTAATTTGGGCTCCACGTTCTGAAATAGTACACCCCGCCCCTCAAGAATTTAAAGAAAAATATTACTCCCTTCGGTCCAAAATAAGTGATTTTTTGGATGTTTTCACACAAATTAAGAAATCCACCTTTTAGCATTAATTAGCAATGGAATTGACCATATTAACCTTTACTATCTCACATAAACACTCCTAACACATATTCCAACACCATTTACTTCAAGGACAATGTAGGAAAAAAATAATTAATTCATTCTTGAAATCTGAAAAAATTACTTATTTTGGACCACAAAAAAAAGGCCAAAAAATCACTTATTTTGGACAGGAGGGAGTAATAATTGATCGCTCTTGAATGGAATATGAATTTATTGGCTTTGACTCTTGGACGAATGATTGAGTCACCTAATTAATCTCATTTGATTACTTGATTTAGGCATGAATTCATTTGCGGTGGATTGCTAATAATTTGTTTTTGTTAGACTTGAGTTAACAATTGAAAAGTAAAAAAAGAAGATTCTCATTGCCGTTACGGGTTAGTACGGTAAAATCTCTTTACAGTAACTTTATTTGTTCCGATATTTTTTGGCTGCTATAGTGAAGTGTTATTATAGAAGGCATATATTATAACATAACAAATCGATTCCGAGAAAAACTTGACTTTTATAATGAATAGATATTATATAGAGATGCCGTTATACATCATAGTTAATTTTCTTTTTAAAAAGAAAAAACTTGACAAAGATTCATTCAACTAAAGGGCCCCGAAAAATTATATTATATTGCCAGATAAATTTTTATGTTTTATGTATATTTACTATAGGTTTGACTCCCCTAAACTTTTTGAGGTATCTATATTTTTATATTTTGACATACCTTAATGAAAATTCTGATTCCGCCACTACTTTAATTCCTTAAAGCATCTACCTTGGCTTGTGAATGAAAAAGTTAATACAGTATAAACAAGAAACAGAGCGTCAAGCTGTCAACGCATATCTAAATTTTATATTAACAGCAGATAAAAGAAGAATTACAATTAAAATTGTATCATGATAATTGTAACAATGACACGAATACTGGGTTCGAATTCGCTTTAGCAGGAAACATTTTATGAACTTTATCCCTCAAAATCGAACTTTCGGGCGCGAATCCTGATTAGTTAGCCCCAAAGCCATGACCGGACACCGGCTGGTAATTTTAAAAAAGAAAAGACACCAATATGAATCTTTGTTTTCCTCCATTATATTAGAGCATTAATTCATTCTGAGTGAAGATTCTGGAGGGAACAGCAAAGCGAGCTGAGAAAGATCTTGAGAGGTCATCAGAATCGGACAAGAATGAACCTTGATCAAAATTCTGTGAATAAGAATGAGGATCATATGAAAACCGCATTGATGAGTTTGAGCAATCGAAAATATATTTCTTCTGCATCTTTATCTTCCTCCATAGCAGTCTCCAGATTGGTGTTTTGCTTGATGATCGGCTCACCGGCAAGTTATAGGATACGAAACGGTCGTACTCTAAACCGGAGTAACACCGCCGCGAGCAGACGACGTTCCCGTCGTCTGAATCATACCAGGATCCGGTATCCATGAGATGAGACAAAATAGTATGTGCTTGTGATATGAAAGTATTTGACTTTTGTGATTTGTAGCATAGAGAGTGGAAACGCATGAAACAAAAGTGGTGCTATTGCTACTTATATATAATGCAGAAGAATAATGTCTAATATACGTTCCTACTGTCCGGTCTAGTGTAAAATGGTTCAATAAGTGAGCCGGCACGTGATATGTTCAAGGATAAATGAGTCATTTACAGTACGTAGGGTTGTACTGCTTCTTTGTCTTTTTTTTCTTTTCTTTTTACGTTAATAACCGAGAGATAGAGAACCTGAAGATCTAATAATCATTGAAATTCAAATTTACTAGATTGTTTGGACGCAATTAGAGGTGGACCCAAGATTTGAAAGTCATGGGTGTACTTTTGCATTCACTTAAAATTTGTTTTGTATATAGAGTGTTACTATTTACTAAAGACATATACATATATACATAGAATTTTTGTAGAACTTTTCGGGTGCCGGTGACCCCTCTATATAATAGAGATCCACCTCTGGAGACAATACTCATGGAGGTAGAATTATATTGAGTTGGATCGTTGCCTTTTGTTACTATTATTATTACTCCCCTAGAGTGTTCGTCTCTTTGTTTTTCATTTTGAAAAAATTCAAATAAAGCTAAATAAATATAGAAGATTTGTAAAGTAGTCCCTACTAGTTTGAGATTGATTCAAAGATAACGTGGTCATAGTATTATGTACACAAGATTTTCGAGACCCAAAACATCTATCATCCTAGTGATTCAATTGTCTGATGTCTCAATATCCATGCTATAGTATCAACTGTCTGACTTGAAGAAAGTTGGCGAAAAAACTTGTTATCAAGTTTTCAATGTGTTTTTTCCCATTAGAGTGACACAAACTCTGGCAGTATTTTCAGCAAGTACAATATGTTAGATTAGTTAGTGTTTGATGGGAGTATTTTAAAAGAGGTTGTTTTGTCCCTCATTGAAAAAAAAAAAAGAAAGGAAGAGGTGTTTAAAAGCACTTCTTTGTCTTATATAGTTTCAATATTTTTAAGGTTGTTTTGGAGGGAAATTGAAATTTGACTATACTATTAATAGTCAAGACTGGACAATTGGGCACTTGGGGCAATTGAGCCAATTAAGTAGTCCGGAATTAATATTTTAGTCACCTATTATTAAATTAATTAAAAACATTTTTGTCGTTTTAATTTCAGAAAACGTTTTTAACAGCTCTCTTTTAAATTCAAAAGAAGGTGACTATTGGTTTTAACAAGTGCCTGTTATGAAGAGATGAGTCTGTTAATTCCAACAGACTCCTAGAGGTATTATAAATACCTATATCATCTCCAAAACGAAATCATCCAAAAAAACTTTCATCTTTTTCTCTCCTACTTGTTTTCTATAACTCACAAATATTCTGTTCTTGCGGGAAATTCGAGTTAGTTGCTGAAACTCGAATTTCTATATATTCTGCTAATTTTTTCTAACACAATCCACATAAATTTTCCGCCGGGCCAACGATATTGAAAGGAAAGAAGACTGAACAAGTGGTTGGAATCTTAAAGGCTTTAAGAGGTCCAGATTAGCAGACAAGTCTCAAATTTCAATAAAGCCACTGATTCCACAGCCTTTGTTTATCTTCAATTCTTCATCCATACTTCGCCAACGCCTAATATGCACAAAACCAAGACACTATCACTCACTAGCCACTAGAATAGCTAAAGAGGAAAAGACAATTCCAGTCGTCACCAGTACCTATCTGTTATAACTGTCAATCATTACAATTTAAGTTTCTTTTGCACTTCTCCACTTTTATTCTCCTCCTTACCTTCTATTCAATATTCCGTATATAAAATGTTGTGCTAGAGGTTGATACACAGTATTCTCCAGTATCCAATGTGTTACCCGAGAGGTGCTCATTGTGTTGGTGTTCATGACAAGCTGGGAGAACGTCGTGGACGATTTGTTCCTCCTGATACAAGGGAAGATGTGCAGATACAAGTAAGCAGTATCTCAACTGGAAATATTGGAGCTGCAGTTGGAATGACGAAGCAGTGTGTTTGTTCCCCAACACATCATCCGGGCTCGTTCAGGTGTAGGCACCATCATTCTGATTACAAATGGCAAAATGGAACCAAATCAGTCACTAGGAACTAGTGCTGCTATACTTTTGCTGCCAAGGCCTTATATATAAGAACTCAGCTGTATAAATTACTCCTACCATATATCCTTTATTTCCTTAGTTGTGTTCTCTTTTTCAATAAGATGTGCATAGTCCTGTTGACACCATCTGAAGATGAATTTTCTTTTTTCACGTAATTATATCCAAGATTCAAAAGTTCATCTCGAAATGAACAAAAAAAAAGGCAGCTCGGTGCATTAAGCTCTCGCTATGCGCGGGGTCCAGGGAAGGGCCGGACCACAAGGGTATACTGTATGCAGCCTTACACTACATTTTTGCAAGAGACTGTTTCCACTGCTTGAACCCGTAACCTCCCGGTCACACATCAACTTTACCAGTTACTCACATAACAAAATGAGTCACTTTTAAAAAATAATCTGCAAAATTTTGAAATGTCCATGCATGTATCCTATAGTTGCTTTCACTTGCCAACTATATACCTTGTCTTCTCTCATTTTTAAAGAACAAACTAGCAAAAGCAAACTGGAGAAGCCACTAGAAAATGGAAATACCAAAACTAAGAAGTGAAAATCAAATATGTCTAAACTTCACATAGTTCAGTAGTATGACGAAGAAGTGAAAGTAACATCAAAGTTCCTAACTAAATTGTTTCCTACATAAATGGAAGAGAGAAAAAACAATGCAAAAGAAGGCCAGGGGTATAGTTGTAAACAAGCATTTTACTTTAAAATTTATATAATGTATATCAATTTCTAATACAACAAACCAAACATTCAAAAAAATAATCTCTGCATAACTAATACCTGCATAACTTATCCCTGCATAACTAATCCCTGCATAACTAATACATGTATAACTAATACCTGCATAACTCTAACCGGCAACCAAACGACCCCTAAGTTCTTGTTTCATCAAAGGGACTTTTACAGAATTGATTCCCAGGCCAATGGTTTGGTTGGTTACTATATTGATAGAAGTTGATACAAAGTTAGTGGGACAAAAATAAGAAACTTCCGAACAGTTAAAGTATAGATTCCCTATTTCTGCACGATATCCAACAAAATAACCAGTAAGAAAAAGATCAGCCACAGAACAGATGTTTTAACTATCTTAAGGTAACAGTTCTAATGGGAAATTGCTACACTGAAAATGTCGACAAAATTTTTATATGAAACTTTTTCCCTGCGAAAAGATTAGAAAAATGTTTACAAAATCTTCTTTACGACGCCACTGCTAGAAACTTGTGATGGACTAAGATTAGGACTCATGAATAGAGAGTCAAATACTACTCAACATAGAGGCTTTATCAAATGAGCCTATTTACAATGAAATGATTTAATAACTGTTAAGGAGTAATATACACTAGTACTGTATCAAATCTTAACGTGTATACAAAAAATTAACAAGATTGGCTGAGGAATGGAATGGTAATCCAGCATGTCCTAACTAAAAAGTCATTCTTTTGATTTACCACTGAGATCCGCCAGGCGAGCAACAACCTCATCGTAGTTTGGACCAAACATATCAGGCTCACAAGAATTTGCTCGAGTGTGCCCTTTCATTAGCTCAGCTGGACTTATTTGTTCCAATTCAACTGGAAGGGATGCTGTTCTGCCTGAAGGACCATCTCGGGTTCTCTGCCTCGAGACTTCATCATTTGCAAATTTTAGGCCATGGTTTTCTTCTCCTGAATCTTTATCACCAGACTGTGGCTCCACATGTTTCCTTCTAACCGATTTTGGTTTTGGATTAGCCTTTGCAGCTGCATTGTCGTCGCCATCATATTCTACTTTGGCCACATGAGCAGAATCAAGACCAGAATCAGAACTGCTTTCTGTTGTGCTCACTCTTGATTTGGTATGATGATGCCTTGCATTCTCATGATTGAATGTAGCAGCTTCAGATTCTTTATTTTGACCTGATTCAGACATGTGCACTTGTTCATATAGCTTCTGTTGTAAGGCTTTTGAATTCCATTCTACACCAGATTCTGTTGCTATATCTTGCATCAACTGTAGCTTCATATCCTTTTTATGTGGTACTGCCTTTAATTTTTCAGCAAACTATCAAGAAAAATGAGGAAATAGGAATCATATGAGAAAGTTTACAACAACAACGACCCGGTAGAATCCCACTAGTGGGGTCTGGGGAGGGTAGTGTGTACGCAGACCTTATCCCTACCCTCGGCTCAAGAAGACGAAAAGACCATATGAGAAAGTTTATGCATGAATATTATCTGCGGGGGAAAAAATGAGTATTACCTGTTTACTAACATAAAATTCAAGAGAATTTCCATATCTCTCAGAAAATATCGTTCTGAGTTGACGTAATTCAGGCAGGTCAGCTAGTCTTGCTGCTGCAAACATCATACATGCCACAGCTTCCCTGCAATTCTCGGGGCATTCCCTAAAAGATGGATAGCATATTAATTTGTCTTTAGTACATACAATATAAAAGGGCATCCCGGTGCACAAGGCATCCTGCATTCACGTAGGTTTTGGGAAAGGCCGCACGCCAAGGAATATATGATATTGACAGCCTACTAGAGACAACTTTACACGTTGCTCCAAGGCTCCCCTTCTTCGGTACACACAATATAATTAACCATTTATGTCTTCTATTCTAATGAAACACCAATAAAATAATGTCCAAGTTACCTCTGTTGAATCATGGTTTCAAGGTGACAAAAAATATGGTCACAATATTGCTCCAAGAAATCGTAACAGCTCAAAAGATTCAGCTCAACTAGAAGGCCTTCAGTCTGTTGCAGTAAAACAAAATAAGCAGACTTTACAAGGAGAAAAGTACAGTTTTACTTTATAGCATACAAAAGGCCAGAAATTGAAGTAGTATGAATTTGATGAAAATACTGAGCTCTAAAGTCCACATTAGAATAAATGATACTCCTTAGAAGAATGGGAATATTTGGGATGATCTGTTGCAATTTGCAACCAGTCAAAATTTTCAAGATATGAAAACAAGCAAAAGAAAATTACCCTGTCGTAGGCATTGACATCCAATCCAGATTTAAGAAGGTCAGCCATATCATTCTTCAAGTATTTCTGCATTGCATTTCTCTTCTTCCTCACCATCTCAATTCGAGTTTTCATCTGCTTGATTGTAGACTTGCTGTACCAGAGATCATCCCCAAAAGAATATGACAACAATTAATAGGGAAAGAAAAAGTATCTTTCTTACATTGAAAATCAAACAGAGAATTAACCCCTGCAGAATTGCCACTCTTACCATTTGGAGCAAAACTTGTTTCTCTTCCATGAGTCCAACATTTTGATTTTCTTCTATCGGCTAAGTTCACGAGCTGGAGATAAGCGGACTCAAACCACTGACATCCGTCGTAGGGTAAACCACAGCCTCTCAGGTCCCCAATGCACCTAGGAGGTTACAATATTATAATTACAAGGATACAATTATTATGATCCAAATGCATTTCAAGTCACGCAAGAATCAACATAGAAAACTGATAAGAAGAATGAAAATAAAATAAAAAACAAACTACTGTGTTAGGACAAAGAAAAAAGAAACCTTTAAATATGAAGGAGAAAAGAACGTAATCTCGAGTTTAGGAGAAGCTCATATATTAAGGAGTTACTATAATTTAGAATCTAAATCGCCATAAAAGAAGTTGAAGAAAGATATAAGTCCAGCTATATTCTATGGGGTCTTGTCGGATAACGGACAATGCAGTGATTTTACTGTAATGCCCTTGTTATTCACGTGTGTGTTACACGTTGTGGGGGAAGGGGAAGGGTAGTATGGTAAGTACATACAGGTTCAATGAAATACGAAGTTGGCGGGTTTACATGGGATTTGATTGACTGGGAGTGCAAACCGCGGGAGACGAACCGTTGAGGATCAGCTCCTCTTTCACTTTCCATCCATAGATGTTTTTTTAACTTATTTTTTCTTCTATTTTTTCTTCTTTTACTTTGGGGTGAGTGGCTGTGTATAGTGCTTTACCACTGCAACTGCAATGGCGATCTTGGAAAATAAACTGAGACATAGGGGTCATGTTAGGTGTTTGATCTAAATTACTACAAGTTAGACCAATTTTCTAATTAGTCAACTAGATGTAATAACGAGATAATAATAAGAGCACAATTTAAGATGCAGAAATAAAGTGCAAGAATTAAAGACACCAGAATTTTTATACTGGTTCGGAATCAAGGTGAATCCTAGTCCAGTCCCCTTGGCTTGCAAGGGAGTTTTCTTTCAGTGAATGAGTTTCTCGAGTACAAGGTGAATGGTGTGGTTTACACCAATGGCTCAGTTTCTATGTCACTCGTTTCTTTTGATACAATGCCTCACCAGTATTTTTCTCTCTTTCTTCTCTAACTTGTTACACAAGTAAAGCTACAATGTTTGTTTGCAGTAGAACAAAGAGAGGGTATTTGGTTCGATCAAAGTATATCTGTCTAAGGCTTAAGGATGTGTATAAATACTTTGTAGGAGGCCGTTGCTGAAGAGATTTGCCAACCCAAGAGATTTGATCCTTGGAAAGAAATTGATTCGTTCCAAGAATAAGGTTATTTGCCGTTGCTCTTCCTTGATGAGAGAACTTTAATAGCTATCCTTCTACAGGTCTTGATAGCGCCGGATTTTCTCCTTGATTTTTGGTCCTTCTAGTAATAGCAGCTTGATTGATCATCTTGCAAGATCTTCGATGCTTCTTTTCCGTTTCAATCAATCTCTGATTGATTTCCTTGCCGGATCTTTAATTGTTTGATTGATTCCTTCCTTTTGATTTCTTCGATCTCGGATGTTTTCCTTGAGTCCCTATACCAAAAATAATTATATTATTTTTCATTATTAAAACTAAAACCTAACAATCTCCCCCTTTTTGGTGATGACAAAATAATATATGTAAACATCAGTTGACTTCCCTGTATTTTACTCCCCCTCAATGAGTGCAGTTGACTCCCCCTCAATAGGTGCTGTTGAGACTACTTCCTTTAGGCGACTACTTCTGCAGGATCTCTGACTCCCCCTCAAGAGGTGCCGTTGGGACTTCTTTTAGTCAGCTTCTCCTGTAGTATCTATAGTCGACTTCCCCTGCAATGGATGTACCTGCACGAATATACATATATCCTTTCTCCCCCATTTTGACATAAGCAAAGAGGGGATAAGATAACAACACACTATATACTAAAATACGATTTATAGCATGATATGCTTGCAGAGTTATGGCAAAACAAAATATATTGTCTAAACGTCCAAATTATCCAACGACTGGTTATCCAGTCCAAAACAGCACAACAAAAAAATATTGTCTAAAACTTCCACATTAACGACACAAGAAATAAGTAAGAGTGTTGCAAATCGCCTCCTTCAGTTGATCAAAGCTGGCATTGGCTGAGTCACTCCATCAAGCCTGTCGTGTACCTCCTTGAATGCCTTGATTGCATTTTCCCTAACTTTGAGAACTGCAACTCTTATCTTTGAAACATCAGACCCTGTCTCTTTGGAGATTGCATGAATATCTCCAACAGTAGACTGAGTAGCAGTAAGAATATCTTTGATGGCGGACAGCTGATGTCAATGGCAACAGTTTCGTCAGCAAGGTCAGGACACTGGGACTATGATGGGAACAGAGGTTTGGATTTTGGATCAGGTTGAGCATGTTTGACCTCACCTTCTTGTTTCTTAACCCATGAGCCCTTCACACACATATACCCATACTCGCAAACGCTCTGGAAATGTAAGATTTTGAAACAGAGATGAAGGGATATTCAGAGGTGGAAATATTATAAGCTTCTAGAATGTGAGTGATGGCCATGCCATAAGGCAAACTGGTGGGATCATCAGCACTTTCAATCATAAAATTGATGACCCAGGAGGACAGTTTGATCTTGAGTTTTGTGACAAGGCAATAAACAAGAAAGGTATCTCTTTGAGAGAAGGTGGAGAAAGAGCCAGTACGAGGAAGCAGAGTAGTTGCAACAATGTGGGCTAGAACACGAGTTTCAAAGCTAACATCACTTGGACCTAACTAGTTTGGGAGAGATTCAGATGGACACTCAACAATACACCGTTTTGCTTGATCAAAAGTGATTTCAAAATTATCAGGCCAGAAATTTTTGAAAAGCATGGGAAAACCAGAACACTTATACTGGAAAATTGAATCAAACATGGCACAATCAAGAACAATGCGCTTCTCTAACACTAAGGATTCCAACTTATCAAACTTACTAGAGCAAAGATTTGCATAAAACATTTTCACTAGGGATTCATAGACTTTAGGAGGGGGAATAGAAAAGAATTTAGACCAGCCCTGATGAACAAACAGATCTTTTACCTTACAATTTAGGGCTTCCATGTCATCAAGGTCGACTACCTTCTCATAAGCAATTGGCTTGTCTTTCAAAGCAATGAAAAAATCCCTGTTTGGAGAGTCCTAGAAATTTAGGTCAGACTCTAAAGAACTAGAGAGATCTATTTTCGACTTCTTTGGAGTAACGAATTCAGGGGGTTCTTCCATAGGTCTTTTCCCCAGGGCTTTTTCTCCTAAAGTGTGAGAATGATCTGAGAGGTCCGCCTGAGAAGAGGCAAAACCTTCCGAGTGGTTGGACCCTAGGTCTACTCGTTCTGGAGGTTGAGATGGGGGTTTTGTTTTGGAGCGAGTACTCTTCCTGGTAGAAGCAGAAGGATTTTTTGAGTGTCTGGCCATGAAAGAGCTTTTGGTGAGAGAAAGTTTTTGGAGAGGGTTTCTAGGCGATGAGGACGATGGAGACTAAAAAGGGTTTTCACGTATTAAAAGAAGGGTTTCTAACGGTTGAGTACAGAAAAGGAAGGGGTGTCAGTTGAACAGACGTGATGATTGATTTTCCTTCTTTGAACTCTGCAACTGATGTGAAAAGAGAGGAAAAGAGAGGGAATTCGGAGGCGCAATTAATGATTAGAAAAAAACAATAAAGTTTGAACATTAGGCATACAAAAAGTAATAGTAACACACAGGTCCTAATATTAATGATTAATGCAAATAATACCAAGTAATTCTCTTAGAAAGCAAAATCTGTCCTCTAGTAATGGCTTAGTAAAGATATCCGCTAATTGATCATTAGTTCCAATAAAAGATTGTTCTATATTTTCCTTAAGAACATGATCTCTAATAAAATGATGCTTGATGTCTATATGCTTTGCGCTAGAATGATGCACAGGATTTTTTGAGAGACATATAGCACTAGAGTTATCAAAAAAATTGGAATACGTTTAAAGAATAATTCATAGTCACCTAATTGATGAGACATCCATAGTAATTGTGCACAACATTGTCCAACAGCGATATACTCAGCCTCAGTTGTGGATAATGCGACTGATCCTTGCTTTTTACTGTTCCAAGATATCAGTGCCTTTCCAAGTAATTGGCATGTCCCACTGGTGCTTTTTGTGTCTTCCTTATCACCTGCAAGATCAGCATCTAAAAAACCTTCTAGTTTAAAATTGTTAGATCGTGGATACCGTAATCCATGAGAGACAGTTCCAATGATATATCGAATAATTCTCTTTACTGCAATCAGATGTGATTCCTTAGGAGCTGACTTAAACTTGGCACATTTAAAGACACTAAACATAATATCCGGTCGACTAGCAGTTAGATAAAGAAGTGAGACAATCATTCCACGATACTTAGTTTTATCAATAGGATTTCCGTGTTCATCTTTGTCGAGACTTGTTAAAGGACTCATTGGTGTGCCAATAGCTTTAGCATTGCTCATACCGAACTTTTGAATCAACTCCTTTGTATATTTTGTCTGACATATGAATGTTCCTTCTTCAGAATGTTGAATTTGAAGTCCAAGAAAGAATGTTAGCTCTTCCATTATACTCATTTCGAACTCAATTTGCATAAGATTTGAAAATTCCTTGCACAGAAAAGGATTAGCACTACCAAAAATAATATCATCAATGTAAATTTGAATAATGAGATTACCTTCTGATGATATTTTAATAAATAGGGTAGTGTCTACTTTACCTCTTGTAAATCCTTGATCAATAAGAAATGAGCTAAGTCTTTCGTATCATGCTCGTGGAGCTTGTTTCAGTCCATACAACGCTTTGATCAGTTTATACACATGGTAGGGAAACTTTGAATCTACAAATCCAGGAGGTTGTTCCACGTATACTTCCTCTTCAATAAGATCATTCAAAAAGGCATTTGACATCCATTTGGAATAGCCTGAATCTTTTAAAGAATCCGTATGCAAGAAGAACTCGTATAGATTCCAGTCGAGCTACTGGAGCAAAGGTTTCGTCATAGTCGACTCCTTCTTGTTGTGAGTATCCTTGAGCAACTAATCTGCTTTGTTTCTCACACCTTTTCCATCCTCATTTAGCTAATTTCTGAAAACCCATTTTGTTCCAGTTACGGGAGTATTTTCAGGCTTGGGCATCAGTTTCCATACTTGATTTTTGTCGAATTGGTCTAGCTCTTCCTGCATTGCTTGCAACCAGCTTGAGTCTTTCAGAGCTTCCTCTATTTTCTTTGGCTCAATCTGAGAAATCAGTGCTATGTTTGCTTTCTTCTTGAGAGCTCTCCTGGTTTTCATTCCTTCGCTTGGATCTCCTATGATGAATTTTTGAGGATATTCAGGTTCACTTCTCCAT